TGATAAAAGTGGCATAAAACCACTCACTCACTTTATAAACTACAAAACATTTTAATAAAAAATGTGAAAAAAATCTTAATCTTATTTCAAACATATCAAAAATCACGAAAAACAAACATCTTGGAATTACAACCATTCTTGTTATGAATCCCAAAAGAAAACATCTTTTCCTATTCAAAACATCAAAATACCTCATAAATAATATGGTAAAATGAGGGTGAAAACATGTACATATCCTATACCTCATTTCACATTCTTTCCTCAAATACAGCACAAAGGTATGGGTGTTATTTGAGTGCGATCCATTCCAGAAGAGGAAAACAATATATTTTTTCCACACTGTCTACCCAAACAAATCACATTGCATTTGAACACCCATAAACCACACAGCTTGTAAATCCTTTTTCGAAAAGTGATTTCTACTTAACCGAAATATGATTTCAGAGAATACGTAGCAGCCACGGAGCTGAAGGTTCAGTGTGTAAAGGTGGAAAACAAGACCAGCGTATGCCAATATTGAAGTTACCTAGCCCCACCTGAGCTGAACCGAAAATATCAATTGACATATGGTAAGGCTGGAGCGTTGGCTTTCTTGCTTGTTTGTTGCCATATCTTGCATAGCAGGATCTCCTGGGGGGTCATACCTAGCCTACCTTTCATTGAGGGTTTGCATAACCAAACCACAGTCATTCCAGTGCTCACCGACAATGAAGGTAGTCTCTAGGAAAGCGCTTTTGTTGTTAATCAAGTAAGAGATCTTAGCCACATTTCCATGACATATGGAATATTTGACAACTAATTAATATAAAATATGTCACTTTTTCAAATACTTCTATTTGTAGCTTTCATCATATCTCTTTTCATTGTTTGTTATTAAAGGATTTAAGATCGGAATGAAAACCTGGGTTTTGGAAAACAAGATGGCTAAACTAAACAGTTTTTATTTCATTGATAACAACTTTCCAATTACTGAATTCCATGGTTTAGTTTGTGATGAATTCTCATCATTAAGAGTTCATTTTTAATGTGCATGTCCAGTTTACTGTGAAACATTCATTACTGGTTTCATATAATTCAAGCAATCATCACAAGGTATATATGTTCAGAAAATATTATTTCTGTGTGTGTCATTCAGGTTTTACCATTTTACATTTATCCGTGCCATTGGAACTCCACTACAAACATAAGGAACCCCCTTCATACCCCTCTCCACAATGTCTGTGCTAAAGTTAAACAGAAAAAATATATTTTAATAGAGACACCTTTTCTTACTTCCCACATGAATGTCGGATTCTGACTGGCTGAGACCAATTCTATTATTTTCCATGAGCGCCATTAACATGTAAAATACATGTCTTATATTCCCTTCTTGAATTCTTCAACTGTTGGCATTACATTAGCAGCATACCATCACAAGCTTATATGTTTAATGTTCTTTGCACAACGTATGGTAAAACCTTTGATCAGCTCTTTGACAAAATGAAATGAATGATCTTTTGTTTCCAGTAACATAGAATGAGATGACTGGTATTTCTAAACAAGTGGTTTGTTGTGCACAAAGAAGATACATCAAGTTATATGGTCATAAAATGGCCATAAAATCTATATCATAACTATTACCATTAATTTTCAGTTATCAATAAATCCATATGATCACAGTGACTTCTACCTTGGAGTGCATATCAAAGGGACTCTCCGTTATTGCTGTAGCTTTGATCCACAAACAATAAACTAAATCCATAATTCATCAATTCTTTTTGACAAAGTGAAAACCGTCACACCTACACAACCCACCATCACTGTCTAGACCTAACCAACATCTTGAAACCAACGCTTGCCCACTGGCTCAAGTCTAGCAAATGTTGTCAAGGACCAGTGGATGTGTTTACATGATGGTTCAGGGGACACATTATATTTTTTGACAACTTTTATTAGGAAATGAAAATCTAGCACAAACTCTAAACCTGCATTAATTTTTCAGCGACCAAGCTTTTACTTCGAGACAATCGTACATTCGACATCAAAGTTCGACACAAGGGTGCATAACTGTACTTACGGCATTGAGAATACAAGCAGAGCTATGTTCCTGTAACCATGACGCCACTGCATTGTATCCATTGCAACATTAGAAATAGAGAGAAATGTGCAGGTTTTCATCCATTCCCGAAATAATTAGATGACTAACGTATAGAAACTGGGACATTTATGATGAATATTTATTCAAAATATTTTTAATACTGATTATACTTTTATGCAGACCTGTTGACACAGTGACACAGTGAATGATTTCCCTATAATCTTATAGTAAAGTGGGAAGCTTGGCATTGTAATCAGATCAGGCTCGGACAGACTGGCTGACCACTTGGCTTGCCCACAGTTAATGATGCATATCAATTGTACAGTTAATTAGGAACAGAAAACAGGCAGACAGGAGCATTATCAACAAGAATTATAACAGCAACACTAAACCCTTCCTTATTCAATTCGAAATTTAAATATAACCATCTAGATCTACATTTAATAAAGACCTGATCTGAAAAAAAAGTTGACTCTAAAAATTTGGAAACGCTAAGAGAACAGTCCATAGTCTTGTGTAGCAACGAGTCTAATACAAAATTGTTTCATTAAACAAGTAGATACGAATGCCCCATCTACCCTGAATAGAGAGACCTGCGGCATCGTTAACTAGGTGTTTCCTGAAGGTGATCCGTTAACTGTTCCTGAAATGGAAGACATTTCAATTCCACACAGTCTGTGAATCCAAATGCAGGATTATAAAAAGTGACATTGCGCAGGACTTAGTAGAACTATACAACATGCAACTGTGTCTCATAGTGAGCAGGCAGCACATCCACGGCAACACAATGTTGTTTCTGAAGGAGTGTTAATTCCTGACTTGCCAACAACACCTAGCAAGACTTGAGAAATACTTGAGATCAACTAAATAAACAAAAAAAAACATTTTTTCCATATATTTTAATAGCACAACTGTCTTAACAAAAAACATTTTTTTGGCAAACAGATCCTTCCTGTCGGTGGTAAAACCCTTATTTGAGTATCTTTAACACCCCCACATCTATAACCATCACCTAGGTGTAGTCGAGAGATCAGCCTGACAGGGTAATTCACTTAGTGCCTTGCTTGTCTGGCTAGGGTGAAGCCAAACATGTTATATCTGTCAAGTACTTTTCCTGACACCAAATCCAATGTTTTCAAGGTGTGGCAACTTGTCAAGCATCAAAGTAGTACGCTTTTCTCTGTGTGAGAACAGTCCAAAAAGGCCAGCGTGCCTTTTGAGAAAAAATGAAAAGGAGTGTTTCCTTTTTAAAAACAACTTTTTCCCTTTGACTTTTTTGTTGTTGTTATGAAAGGGCAGGTTTGTTCTCATTACATTTGAAAAATTCTTGGTAGGAATCAGATCCATGGTAGGACTCAGATCTATGGTAGGACTCAGATCCATGGTAGGACACAGATCTATGGTAGGACTCAGATCTATGGTAGGACACAGATCTATGGTAGGACACAGATCCATGGTAGACTCAGATCCATGGTAGGACTCAGATCCATGGTAGACTCAGATCCATGATAGGACACAGATCCATGGTAGGACACAGATCCATGGTAGGACACAGATCCATGGTAGGACTCAGATCCATGGTAGACTCAGATCCATGGTAGACTCAGATCCATGATAGGACACAGATCCATGGTAGGACACCGATCCATGGTAGGACACAGATCCATGGTAGGACACCGATCCATGGTAGGACACAGGTCCATGGTAGGACTCAGATCCATGGCAGGACACAGATCCATGGTAGGACACAGGTCCATGGTAGGACACAGATCCATGGTAGGACACAGATCCATGACAGGACACAGATCCATGGTAGGACTCAGATCCATGGTAGGACACAGATCCATGGTAGGACACAGATCCATGGTAGGACACAGATCCATGGTAGGACACAGATCCATGACAGGACACAGATCCATGGTAGGACTCAGATCCATGGTAGGACACAGATCCATGGTAGGACACCGATCCATGGTAGGACACAGGTCCATGGTAGGACTCAGATCCATGGTAGGACACAGATCCATGGTAGGACACAGATCCATGACAGGACACAGATCCATGGTAGGACACAGGTCCATGGTAGGACACAGATCCATGGTAGGACACAGATCCATGACAGGACACAGATCCATGACAGGACACAGATCCATGGTAGACTCAGATCCATGACAGGACACAGATCCATGGTAGGACTCAGATCCATGGTAGGACACAGATCCATGACAGGACACAGATCCATGACAGGACACAGATCCATGGTAGGACACAGATCCATGACAGGACACAGATCCATGGTAGACTCAGATCCATGGTAGGACTCAGATCCATGGTAGGACACAGATCCATGACAGGACTCAGATCCATGGTAGGACACAGATCCATGGTAGACTCAGATCCATGGTAGGACACAGATCCATGGTAGACTCAGATCCATGGTAGACTCAGATCCATGGTAGGACACAGATCCATGACAGGACACAGATCCATGGTAGGACACAGATCCATGGTAGGACACAGATCCATGGTAGGACACAGATCCATGGTAGACTCAGATCCATGGTAGGACACAGATCCATGACAGGACACAGATCCATGGTAGGACACAGATCCATGACAGGACACAGATCCATGGTAGACTCAGATCCATGGTAGGACTCAGATCCATGGTAGGACACAGATCCATGGTAGGACACAGATCCATGACAGGACACAGATCCATGGTAGGACACAGATCCATGACAGGACACAGATCCATGGTAGACTCAGATCCATGGTAGGACTCAGATCCATGGTAGGACACAGATCCATGGTAGACTCAGATCCATGGTAGGACACAGATCCATGGTAGGACCCAGGCCTTGACATGGGTAGTATGCAGCCCACCCCTTTTAAAAAATCCTGGCCAATGTAAATCACTTACCTAAATAAGTATTGCAAATAAACTCTGCTATCTGGTTTCCAGACTTGCTAGATTCGGCGAAGTGACTCAGCTCTCGATTCAACATTCGTTTGAACTGAAACAGATAAACAACAAATGAGGAATATATATCACATCCAAAAGGTAATCAACTCAACAAGGCAGACAAATCCCTGACATTCCCAATCCCATTATCCAAATGGCGACACCCAATCATGGCACGCCACATAATGTGTGTCTTAAGGATCAACAAGGACATATTAATTCAAGAAAGCATAGTCCATATGTTCCCTGTTTAAGAAACTAATCCAAAAACACAGTGGGACACAGAAAGGCGTTTAGGTCAGATCTGTTTTTTATTGATTTTAAAGATTTTTTTGTCCAGAGAGACAGAAGTCAAGAAAGGTTTAAGGATTGATCCAAGATGGGTTTTTTCATATTTTCTTTTCAGAAAAAAAGCATTCATGAGTACAGTGCAGCCAGTTTCATCAATTCCCCCTGCAGTGCAAAAGTGAGTGAGTTTGGGCAAAAGTCACCTTTTACATCAAACTTATTACATCAAGTTGCAAGTGCATGTTCGAATCTCCAGAAAAGACGTCATGATAGAACAATACTTATTAAACCAAGCTTTGTTCATCATTGTTCTTTGTGATTTACCACATAGCTAGCAATATTTATATAATATATACATTATACAAATAAACCTCCTGCATGAAAACCCACTGACCTGTACATCACATCTTGAACAGCATGCTGCTGTTGACAATGCTTAATAAACTTAAGTGTACATAGGTAATCTGCAATATTTGTCTCACATGTGTCACTTAAGCTGCTCAATACTGTTTATGAGCCAGAGTCTGCCTTGAAGTATCAGACTGATCCTGTCGTAAACAGATCCTGCCAGCTGTTGTACATCAAACAAAACTGACATTCAAGGATGAAGAATAGCAGGATGTTATTTCAGGATTTTATTAACATGGAATTGATTGAAAATGTTTCACTATTGGTGATAGGATCATATATTCCGTTTTGCTTTCAAATCAAACAAAAACAAAATTTTGTCAATAATTTCTAAAAAATGTCACATCTTTATACAACAAAAATAGGTTGCTAACCTAAACCAATTTGATTTATCCAACAAAACATTATTTATACCATGAGCCGGAGGTTTTAATTTGACATTGTAAAATAATAAAAACAAATTCAAAATTGATAGGAAACCGCTGTTTCATTGACCTACGGTTAATTTGTGCAACTTGACTTTCATTGAGGGGTTTAAGGGATTTATTCTGCCTCTCAGAAATCCACATGCAGCCTGACTTGCTTGTGGCGGGGTATAAGAGACTTATTCTCCTGCTGAGAAATTTATTTCCCCCTAAGTTGGGACGCATAGTATTTTATCAAGATCACATGGACCAATCAGATCTCATTATTCTGGCATGGAGGTATGATAACTTGCCTAATGATCCTTACATGTACATTGTGTCATAAGTTCATGACAATCCCAGGTTTAACTACAAATCAGCTCAAATTCTACAACAACCTGTGATCGGATGTTGGACCTATAACATTAATAAGTTATTGCAGTGAAATCTGCCCCCATAAAAGCCATAATGAACACTGATAGTTTGAATGTGTTGGATATTCACTGAATCATAGAATTACATAAAGGAATAGAGTGAGTGAGTGAGTGAGTGAGTGAGTGAGTGAGTGAGTGAGTGGGTGGGTGGATAGATGGGTGGGTGAGTGCTTGAGTGGGGTTTAAAGATGTCAGCTGGTACAAACTTGTAATTATTGTACATCTTGAGCTGCCTTGTGTGGGAGTGTTCTGACGACATGATGTCATGCAGCTATTAAAAACTATTGAAATGACAAATCATCAAAGGAAGAGTATTATATATCAAACTAAAACTGTATTAATGTCCATAGCACTGAAAGACGTCATCAATGGAATTAAAAAATTGAGGATATTCACAAATGTTTTAAAGATTTTCTAAAAAATAGCACACTTTCTCATAGATATTAATGGTATGATTTTTTATCCATTTGTGGTCAATATGTTTCAAAAAGTTAAATCTATTTCTTTACTTTTATTAGAAACTGTTAACATGGTGAATGATTCACCATCATACCTGTGGTTGATAGTATGAGCATGGATCCATGCCGTCGGGGTACGATGACACGGATCCCGACCACGTGCACCCAATCCATTAAGTTGCTCCTTATAATCCCAGCACTTACAGTCAGTATCTGGTGGTGCCTTGTCCTGAGTCAGTCAGCTACAGTACACATGATATATAAATATCTGGGACATTGCTGACTGGGCATAAAAAGCTTTCACTCGCTCCGATATTAATTTCAATGACTGAACACTAAGACAGCAAAAGGCTTGACCTTGAGAAGCAAGGTCAACACAAACCTAACACGACCTAAACCACATCGACTGGTGTGAGAATCAAAGACATACCAAAATATTTCCACATTTCGCAAAAGGAAGAGCTTTCGTCCTTGTCCTACACAGAGGTTTGCCTGATCCAGGGCTTGATGTCAGACTCATCAATAGTTTACAAAAAGTGGAACACAAGTCAGCAAGCCTACTGACCTAACGCCTCCGGATCTGTTCGCCGTGTTCACTCCAGTTCTCAATCCTAACATAATCACATTTCACTAAGGTTCTAGCTTTGCCAGGGTCTTATGCTTCTTATATAATTACTGTAATAAAAAGCATAGCAAATGTAATTTGTCATATTAGACAAGATGTATCTCAGAAGATACTATGAATTACACTTTTCCCTCATCCCAGTATCCCGATAATATTCGTGTCAGCACGCATGTCTTCTTTTATCAACAGCTTCTGTAATATGACTCAAGCAATTGGTCCAAATCATAAATCTCAAAATCATTTCATCCCTCACATCAATTTCAATACAAGTCAAAAAAAAAATGTACCCTACACAAAAAATTAATAGAGGCTTAATGCTTTGTTTCTGATATAAAAATACTCCGACAAAAAACGTTTCCATATGCATAAAAAAACTCTTCTACAAGCCAAATCCATTGTCTGATTCTAACTATATCATGAGCTTCATATAAACATTAACTACCTAACTTTATGGTACATTCAAGGTAAAACTATTTCCAAACGATTCCATCATTCAAGATCCTAAAAGACCCACAAACTGTCAGAAATACTTTCTTTTTCATCATCATAAAGATCAATATGTTAACAATTAATGCTAATGGTAGATTGACTATTCTTGTAAGCCATACAAGCCTATATAGCTCGTTCATCATCGCCTGCTCTCATAGACGACTCTTCCGATTTGAGCATCAGGGATGGGACACAACAAAGGAACATGGCTGTCACTTTCGAGATATCAACTATTTCTGTCCAAACCTTTAATACAATCTTTGTTCAACTGGGATTTTCTAAATATATTGAACTTTCAGAGGGTGCAGTGAAAGGGATTAACTAAGGAAAGTGGTCACTACAAGCCCGAGGCACACCAGCACTATTTTATAATGTATTTATGGATGTCTTTCAAGAGATGCAACATACTGCCCTCCTTAAACTTCTGGTACATCTCACCTGCTCTACATTCTGTATGCTATTCTTGGATGTCACTGAAAATGTATTCATACTTATTTTGGTAATCATGGTTTCACAAAGTTTTTATGCTAAATAATAATGATGATGATGATGATGATGATGATGATGATGATGATAATAATAATAATAATAATTTGCTGTCTGGGTTGCGTGTAAAGGGGGGCAAGGGCCCTGAGCTGATGATGAGCCTAACCTGCCTGACCAAACCCTCTTTGCTGCATTTTTTATTTTAATCTGTAAATAATAATAATAATAATAATAATAATAATAATAATAATAATAAGCCAAGTCAATTGTTTATCTGCATAAACAAAGGAATAAATGGTACAAGTACAGGGAATTGCAATAATCTGTCAATCCACAGAATAAATCATGTTTTGATGCACACTATATTGTACACTAGAAAATATGGCACATGAGTAATAATATATGTGTGTGTGTGTGTGTGTGTGTGTGTGTGTGTGTGTGTGTGTGTGTGTGTGTGTGTGTGTGTATGTGTGTGTAGAAATTAGGGCTGGGACGAGTCCAAATTTACTCCCCGGGTACCCACACCCCTATATTACCCCACCCTACCCGGGTACCCACACCCCTGTTACCCCACCCTACCCGGGTACCCACACCCCTATTACCCCACCCTACCCGGGTACCCACACCCCTGTTACACCACCCTACCCGGGTCCCCACACCCCTGTTACACCACCCTACCCGGGTACCCACACCCCTGTTACCCCACCCTACCCGGGTTCCCACACCCCTATTACCCCACCCTACCCGGGTCCCCACACCCCTGTTACACCACCCTACCCGGGTACCCACACCCCTGTTACACCACCCTACCCGGGTACCCACACCCGTATTGCCCCACCCTACCCGGGTACCCACACCCGTATTGCCCCACCCTACCCGGGTACCCACACCCGTATTGCCCCACCCTACCCGGGTACCCACACCCGTATTGCCCCACCCTATCTGGGTACCCACACCCGTTACCCCACCCTAACCGGGTACCCACACCCCTATTACCCCACCCTACTCGGGTACCCACACCCCTATTTCCCCACCCTCCCCACTGTTGTCTACCATAAAGCGTGTTGAAGGCTTGACCGAGGCCTTGAATGTTGTAACATACATCAAACAACTTTTGAACAAGGGTCGAAACAGAGACATCTTTTCTCTGAATCAAAATCAATTTCTTCAACTATTAAATAGCACAGCTTAAGAGTTTGTAACAATCGTGGTGTTCACTCTTACCATAACATCAGTATTATCAGCTGCCAAACGATGTCAATGCCGAGGTCCTCAATCAACCGATGCATATGCATCAAATGCTCAATGTGAAAAGCTAGAACCTATAAACTCCTTTTGTTCATATTTTTCAGGATAAAGTGCTCCGACACAGTTGCCTTGGCAACCTCTACATGTTGACTTGAGGTGTCATAACGTGTATCTGTTGACTTACTTAATGATAGTTATTCCGATACATGTAACTACTATTTCTGGACCACACCTTATTTCAAAAGTCAATAGGGGCGACGGGGCAGCCTTGTGATTAATGTGTTTGCTTGTCACGCTGAAGACTCGGGTTTGATTCCCCACATCGGTACAATGTGTGAAGCACATTTCTGGTGTCCCCTGCCATGATATTGCTGGAATATTGCCAAAATGGCGTAAACCTATACTCACTCATTCTGAAGTAAATAAAAAAAGAACTGTATGAATGCTATACATCCTGCGCTTTAAACAGATTTAACTTCTTCTTTTTTCCTTATCAAAATACAAAAATCTGATTAACTGTATGCTAAATAACAAAATAAATACTGAACTTCACAAACTCATCTTAGTCATATTTTGACAAAAATTAACCCAAAACTGAAGGATTAGCAATAACTCCATAACCATAAAACAACAAAACGTGTCACCATTTCTTAAAGCCCTTGGGACTGCTGAAACACGTTGTATAGTGTCATGTTGCTGTATCAAGACTGACAGAATTCCAAGATATATGTCTGAGAGAACATTATCTGCCATTCAAGTGATCCCTGGGAGTCCGTCATGCACGTCTGTAACACAGATGACTTAGAGGCCCTGGCCACTTGGTGCACTGAGACTATGTGTCATCTCAACATAGTGTCTGATTCACTGATATGATTATATGATCTCAGGAGATGTATCTTTACAAAAACACATTCATCATCCACAGCAGTTGGAACAGGACCTGGCGAGACCCTCAGGGTATTGTCTTCAGGGCATTGACAACAGACAGAGGACCTTCTGTTGGGGAGTGGTACAAATTTCAAAATTAATCATTGTTTTCGAAGAAGATGATGATCAGTTAATGGTTAATCATGAATTAAATTTAAAATTCACATCTAAGAGAAATCATTAGCCTTACTCCAAGTCTCTACTGAATGATAAGTCAATGGATGTATAGTAATTCTATCCTTACAATACGCAAGTCTAGATAAGCTGAGGTCAACAGTCTTTTAAAGAGATAACTTGTTCTTACTGTTTATATAAACTAAGAATTAAGATTTAAACTAAAAAAAAATCTCTTTACAGAGTTGTGCAAGTCTAACAAATAAACAATAAACAAAATAGCAAAGTTCTAAGTTGATGTATTACCATAATCTACAACACAGTTTGTTGGTTAACGGTCCACTCAGTAATATACCAGCAATATGACGTGCCCTATACTGATATCAAGTCTGGACCACATAAACCAGTGATTGATATCATGAGCATAGTACCCTGCTGTTTAGATACGATGACATACAATTCACCAATTCACCAAGCCAGACCTCCCACTCCTTCAAGTTGCCTCTTTCAGAGGTTGCTGGGGTCAATTCTATCCCAGAACCCTCCCAGGTCGACAACTACTAGAAAACATTGTTATAGATTTGTTCTGAAACCACGTCCATTTTCAGATTTTTGATTCCTAATACATGTTATAATTCCTCATTGGAATATCAAAGAAGGAATGTAAGTTATGATTAAACCCTTGGCTGCAAACTGAAACCAATTAATTGGAACATCAGATACAGGAGTTCTCTCCCTTCCCAGTTGTCCAAATCTGTTGCAATATTAAACACCAAAGGTAATTTGTTATGTATACTACTCAAAAGAAGTTAAAGAACACCCAATTCTGGCATGACATATTAACTGTTGTAAAAAATAATAAATCAGGTGCCACAATTTGCTGTGCAGAGTTGCATCCCTTAGGCATGCAAGAATCCTATGATTGGGTTTTAACCCGCTGGATGCCGAGTTTTCTTTCTGAAGTACATTTTCCTAAGATCTTAAAAGAGAAGGTTGTGCGAGAATTGCGCTCACGCTGCACTGGATCAACCCCCAGCTATAAAATTATGCAGAGATGTAAAATATGAAATTACCCATCTGATGGTGTAAATTTAACCTCAAATATTAAACGCGTTTGAAAAAAAAGATACTGCTAAGTGTTGTCCAAGGTATTTCTGCCTTGAAAAACAGCAAATTTCTCCGTTTTTTTCATACAACCGATAAAAGTACTCTGTGACGATGTTTTTCATTTAGCAGCTTTACGGAAACTGTGAGTGAGCAAAGTACTGCCTAATATCTGAACTACATAATTATATATCAAACTGATTTATATATTTATATGCTTATGTATAACGCTATAAATTCAATACAAAAAATAGCCTGCCGTAAATGACTAAAACTGATTTTTCTTTACAACATCAAGGTTACATACGTACAAAGAAAAGGGGGTATAACTCTGCTATGCTAACTCAAGTCAATTGGTGAGAATTTGCTGTGGATAAGGACAATATATTTTCGTGGTGTTTTGTTGACTAGGAAACAAACTATTCCAAGACAAATATCAATATTGAAACCGTATACATTAAGGTTTTAAAAAACAAAACATAAGAAATGATGAAATCGGCTTCATAAAAAAGGAAGTAATAGTGAAATAGAAGGCCCTAGCATCCTCCTGATTGTGCAAGTGTAATGTGACAATTGTTGCACCATTATTAACGGAGCTCTAGGCTTATCATCAGATGTAATGAATTACTTAAAAATGACACCATTCTATATTGACGTCATAGCTGGTTTTATGTCTTTGACAACATCTGAGAAAGACAACACTGGTATTTTGATTAATATATATTTCCCTTAGTTTTTGTTCATGTTATGTAAAATCTTGATGTGTAAAACAGAATTGGACGCTTTTAACACAACATAAAATGACTGCTTTTACCATGCAAATAATGTCTTGAATAGATAAACAATTACATAGTTTACCGTGTATCTTAATGGGAGAAGACACACACCTGTTTGGCATCAATTTATATAATCAAATACCCAAAACTATATTCCTTAACATACAAAATTATACTCAATATTGAACAGTCATGTATTTAACGCATGTTATATTAGGGATAACACTTTTTGAGTAAAGTACAGATTCTCGTACTTTTTGGGGTCCAGGATTCGAACCCACACTGCCAGAGTGAGGCACCTAATCGCCAACAAACAAAGTCAGCGACCTAACCCACTCAGCCACAGGGGCTTCCGCAAAAATGAAAGTCTGACAACTGGTAGTTGAGATCACGTACCCGTACCCAGATAAGTACGAGAATCTGTACTTTACATTCGACCACTTTCTAAATGGCATTGTGTGTTCATAGCTTTCAGCCATGGGAGCCATGCCAATTTACACGTTTCAGAGGGGTACACAAAGTACATGATCTAGACTACCAGTTGTTGAACTTTCATTTTTGTGGAAGCCTGATGGAGCAATGGCTTACCATGCTAGACACCATGTCACTGACGGAGCAATGGCTTACCCTGTGAGACACCATGTTACTGACGGAGCAATGGCTTACCATGCTAGACACCATGTCACTGACGGAGCAATGGCTTACCTTGATAGACTCCATGTCACCGACGGAGCAATGGCGTACACTGCGAGACACCATGTCAGTGACGTGGAATGGCTTACCATGCTAGATACCATGTCACTGACAGAGCAATGGCTTACCTTGATAGACTCCATGTCACTGACGGAGCAATGGCTTACCCTTCGAGACACCATGTCACTGACGGAGCAATGGCATACCTTGATAGACACCATGTCACTGACGGAGCAATGGCTTACCCTGCGAGACACCATGTCACTGACAGAGCAATGGCTTACCATGCTAGACACCATGTCACTGACGGAGCAATGGCTTACCATGCTAGACACCATGTCACTGACGGAGCAATGGCTTACCTTGATAGACACTATGTCACTGACGGAGCAATGGCTTACCTTGATAGACTCCATGTCACTGACGGAGCAATGGCTTACCCTGCGAGACACCATGTCACTGACGGAGCAATGGCTTACCTTGATAGACTCCATGTCACTGACGGAGCAATGGCTTACCCTGCGAGACACTATGTTCCTGACGGAGCAATGGCTTACCCTGCGAGACACCATGTCACTGACGGAGCAATGGCTTACCCTGCGAGACACCATGTTACTAGCGGAACAATGGCTTACCCTGCGAGACACTATGTTACTGACGGAGCAATGGCTTACCCTGCGAGACACCATGTCACTGACGGAGCAATGGCTTACCTTGATAGACAACATGTCACTGACGGAGCAATGGCTTACCTTGATAGACAACATGTCACTGACGGAGCAATGGCATACCTTGATAGACACCATGTCACTGACGGAGCAATGGCGTACCTTGATAGACAACATGTCACTGACGGAGCAATGGCATACCTTGATAGACACCATGTCACTGACGGATCAATGGCTTACCTTGCTAGATGCCATGTCACTGACGGAGCGATGTGTCTGGATGGTCTCTAGCTGGTCCAGACACCAGTCTAGTTCCTCCAGGGTCTCCACAGCCAACTTCATGTATGTGTCATCTACAAACAAACAACATTTGTCAATAAAACAGAGCTCCAGTGTTGAATAAATCCAACATTAGGATAAAAGTCTGCAGCATGCTGTAACATCTCGAACTCATCGTTAATACATTCCAGTTTGATGACAATCTCACTCCAAGTAATGTCATCTCACCCCAGAGAACAGAACAACCCCAATGAGCTCCTACTCTTGAACAGTTCCAACACAAAGTCTTCAATATCTACACAGAGGAAAAGCACCCAACATGACGTTCAACTGCCATATTTGTCAAGAGTTTCAACAAAAGTTTCCAAATCTGAACTATAAGGCACCATAAATGACGCTCAACCGGAATATTTGTCAAGAGTTCCAACAAAGGTGTCCAAATCTTAACTATAAGGCACCATACATGACGCTCAACCGGAATATTTGTCAAGAGTTTCAACAAAGGTTTCCAAATCTTAACTATAAGGCACCCAGCATGACGTTCAACCAGAATATTTGTCAAGAGTTTCAACAAAGGTTTCCACATCTCAACTTTAAGGCACCAAGCATGACGTTCAACTGGCATGTTTGTCAAGAGTTTCAACAAAATGTTTTCCACATCTCAACTTTAAGGCACCCAGCATGACGTTCAACCAGAATATTTGTCAAGAGTTTCAACAAAGGTTTCCAAATCTGAACTATAAGGCACCATAAATGACGCTCAACCGGAATATTTGTCAAGAGTTCCAACAAAGGTGTCCAAATGTTAACTATAAGGCACCATACATGACGCTCAACCGGAATATTTGTCAAGAGTTTCAACAAAGGTTTCCAAATCTTAACTATAAGGCACCCAGCATGACGTTCAACCAGAATATTTGTCAAGAGTTTCAACAAAGGTTTCCACATCTCAACTTTAAGGCACCAAGCATGACGTTCAACTGGCATGTTTGTCAAGAGTTTCAACAAAATGTTTTCCACGTCTCAACTTTAAGGCACCCAGCATGACGTTCAACTGGAATATTTGTCAAGAGTTTCAACAAAGGTTTCCAAATCTGAACTATAAGGCACCATAAATGACGCTCAACCGGAATATTTGTCAAGAGTTCCAACAAAGGTGTCCAAATCTTAACTATAAGGCACCCAGCATGACGTTCAACCAGAATATTTGTCAAGAGTTTCAACAAAGGTTTCCACATCTCAACTTTAAGGCACCAAGCATGACGTTCAACTGGAATATATGTCAAGAGTTCCAACAAAGGTTTCCAAATCTTAACTATAAGGCACCAAGCATGACGTTCAACTGGCATGTTTGTCAAGAGTTTCAACAAAATGTTTTCCACATCTCAACTTTAAGGCACCCAGCATGACGTTCAACTGGAATATTTGTCAAGAGTTTCAACAAAGGTTTCCAAATCTTAACTATAAGGCACCCAGCATGACGTTCAACCAGAATATTTGTCAAGAGTTTCAACAAAGGTTTCCACATCTCAACTTTAAGGCACCCAGCCAGACGTTCAACTGGCATGTTTGTCAAGAGTTTCAACAAAGGTTTCCACATCTCAACTTTAAGGCACCCACCATTATGAAAAGTAACTGAGAATATTTGTCAATAATCAGGAACCATTCTGATAGCACACAAGGGAAATTAACCGAGCCATCATCTGATTATGGACAAAAGACATATACAATGTCTTTTCTATATATAACTCCACCATTTTCCACATGGAGTAACATGTATACGACAAAATCTCTCACGTCCCCGTGACGTCATCCACTCCATCACTCATCAGAGGGGATCTGGCAGTAAGGAGTCTCGTTAGTGGTCTCTCATTGATTCAGCTGACAGAAACGTATGACAGCATGAATGAATTCAGTTTAGTGTGGCACACATTTGGTCAATAATTAATGCAATTGTTTCAATTACATCCAATTTTCTACTATCTCTAATTTGAACAATTTCACTTTTAATAACCCTAAACTAAAATGATCAAATGCTTGTGTAAATGACTGACATGGTGACCCACTGGTTCTAAGACTGTGTACTTTAGGGTCTTGGGGACAAACAGCTTAGTGTTTGGTGTGTTTTAGGGCTGGGACGGATAACTTGGGTACTCGGGTTAGGTGGGTACTGAGTAGGACACGGGTACCCACAGGACTATTCTTAAATCTGAACTGTTTCCCCCCTTGACACATATTCATAATTTCCGTCCCTGCACCATGATGCAGCCATATATACTGAACAAAAAAAGTTCCTGTGACATTGAATAAGATTTAATACAAAGTTATGTTTTTTACCAAATCTAAAACAATTTTGGTTTGCAACAGATAAAAGACTCCTGTAAGTGTTCAAATGGTTTAATTTGTCATACTGACTTCAGAAAATGTGTGATTTCATAAAAAACATGAACATGCCAAAATGTCAATTTACAAATCAATAGCGTGTGTGTCCGCCTCTGGTTGCGATGCAAGCAACACATCTTCGTCTCATGGAATGGACCAGGCTTTGCACAAAGTCCTGTGGGATATCTGCCCATATCTGCTGGAGCATGTTTCGAAGTTCCTGGAGTGTCTGTGGAACATGTGGTTTGACGTCGAAGGCCCTGATCCATCTCATCCCACATGTGCTCGACTGGTGAGAGATCAGGGGAGTGAGCCGGCCAGGGGATGACATTCATGTTGTTTTGTTGAAGAGAATCCTGAACAAGTCGAGGCCGGGCGTTGTCATGTTGAAAGGTAATGCCTGGGCCATGACGACGCAAAAACAGTAGAACAACAGGGCCGATGATCTCGTCGCGGTAGCGCTGTCCATTGAGATTTCCCTCTAGCACTATCAAACGGATCCTCTGTCTTGCTCTAATCCCACCCCATACCATAACCCTGCCGCCCCCGAACCGATCTACTTCCATGACACAATGATTGACGTAACGGTCACCCCGACGTCAGTACACTCGAATCCGTCCATCGCTGTGACTGAGGTGAAAACAAGACTCGTCAGTGTATAGAACTTGTCCCCACTGCATGGCCGTCCAGCGTAGAACCTGTCTGCACCACTGTAGAAGTGCTTGATGGTGATTTCCTGTCAAAATGGGATGTCTGGCGGGTCTTCTGGCGATAATCCCTGCACATCTGAGGCGATGACGTATGGTTTGTGAAGATATTCGTCGAAAGCCAGGGATGCTTCTTGCAGTCACTGTTGCTGGCTTGAATCGATTTCGTAGGTGTGTTGTTCGAATCCAGTTGACTTGTCAATTATTGGTTATGCCTGGCCTGCCACTCCGAGGATGGTCTCTGACGGCATTCATCTGTAGCCAACGTTGCCATAAACACCAAATGGTGTTTCTGTGGACGTTAAATTGCCTTGCAACATCATGTTGACTCGATCCTGCTTCAAGCATACCAATGGCTCTCAGACACTCATTTTCGTACAGGCGTGGCATTTCGTAATGTTGTATAATTGCATAATTTTGTTGTTTTTCTGAGTGGTTGACAGCATATTGCTAAACAATGCATATGGAATCCCGTTAACGCACATGTTTTTATACCCATTCTTGGGTAGTGAAATGCATGGGGCTTGGATAAAAGTCAACTTTTGCATGGAATGCATGCTTTTCTGTAGCAGTTGCATTTTTGTAACTTGATTCTATACATGTACTTCAATATTACTTGTTTGAAAAATACACTAAAATATTGGTGTCACAGGAACTTTTGTTGTTGAGTATACATGAAGGAAGCTACACAGGGGTCGATATTGTTTCTGAAGTATGTGGCTAGATTCTTGTACAAACATACACAAGAGGTCAAGGAATGACCCAACATGTGACACAGCCACAAGATGAAAACAAGACAATGTTGACGTCAGTGTGGTTGTTATCATGGAGCTGTGACAGTCACCTGTGTCAAACAGATAATTCACTTGTTCCGATGAACGTCATACTCCAGGAGTTGAGATGGACAGCTGATAAAGAGAATATGCCTACCAACACACTCATTCATTGATAACAAACTTGGATAATACTCTAATAAATCTGAAAGCTGACAGCAGCATTTCATTGTCATTGTTATTGTCAAAGCGATCTTAACCGTCGGAGGTATTAAAAAAAAATTGTCATTCTGATTCTTTTTCATTTTCTGAATTTTATATTTTAAGGTAGGGGGTTACAGAAACCAAGAACAAAAATGTAAGGTCTTATAATATTCACAGTAAGTGCTGTTCAGCAATGACTCGTTCAACCCATATTTCATTTTTGCACCTGATTCTGACTTTTTGCACTCCAAGTTGCAGGATGCATAGCCCAAACAAAGTCACTTGGCACATAAGAAATAAACTGACTTTACTAGTTATGTAAGCTACTCAATAAATAAACAAAAACTATAGTTCTGCCTTCATGCTCTGCAATCAGATTGAAAAAAGTCAGGAGAAACAAGAACTGGCAAAAATATACTTAATGGGCTCCAAACTTCAGCACACATTTCCACATGAATAAGTCACCTTCAGTATGAGATACCAGAGAAACTACGTCATTATTTCCTAAAGCAGATTATAGGAATGGTATTTTAATTTTTTTTGTAAAAATTTCGTTAAAAAGAATATGAAGCGGTGAATGCGCATCAATACGTCTTGCTACGTGTATCTTTACACTCACTCACTTGGAGATGCGCATCAATACGTCTTGCTACCTGTATCTTTACCCTCACTCACATGGAGGCGGACTTGTACATCGATGATACCAACAAACAAGGTCATTCATGATTCAAGCACCTGCCTGACCGGTGAATCATGGGAGTTTTATCTCTCCAACAGCGGCATGAATCATGAGATTTGGAAACCATTAATTCCACAGCATGAGCAGTTTATAATAAAAAGCTATCATCTACTTCTCCAATCAAGTGCTTGTTCGTTAACGGATTAATTAAGATGTGACTCACAAACAAACAACCTCCTGGAATTGCTATGTACTGAAAAAATTCCTTCCATGTGAAGGTCGGCATTACGTTAAAACAATTAAATGTTCTTGATTCATTATCAAACAGAATTATCTGTGGCTTATCTTTGAAAATCATTTTCTACTGTCTGTAAAATAAACCTTGAGGCTAGCTGTTCAGTCGCTAAAGAGTTGTGTCCCCTTATTTTCATTTTTGAATGGAGTGAACAGTGCAGATTCACCATCTCAAGGTAAGTTGAATGTTAAAGTTACAGGTGAGGTGAGGTGAAATGGGGTTTAACGTCGCGTCCAAGATTATTGCACTTATATAGCGACGTGCATGTACGTGTGTGTGTTTGTGTGGCTGCTTGTACTAGTCCGGACTGATGCCGATTTATAGTGCTAGCTCACTGAGATACCATGCCGCAGTATAACATGAATACCCCACTCAGACACAGTAAACTGACTCCGAGCCGACCAGTCCTTGTTTTAGCCCCTTAATGCTGAGCGCCAGACAGGGTAACAACAAGTATCATCTTTTAACGGCTTTTGGTATGACGCGGCTCTCCGGGCGGACGCTCTACCACTAGACCACGGAGGCAGTCGTTAAAGTTACAGGCTAACTCAGGGAGTGTATGATAGTGAGTAAATTATTTATCCAAAATTTGCTCAGAACTAAGTCGAAGAAGCCTTTGCTTGTCTACCAGCTGGGAAAAGTGGGTGCTGCAATTGGCTGTGCAGAGTTGCATCCCTTGGGCCTGCTGGCATCACATGATGCAGGCTTTGTCCTGATCATAATCACTGGATGTTTTATTACCCTTCTCATTGTCTTCACACAAGAGGTAAACATTTAAGACCTGCATCACTTCAGGCTTTCCTCAAATATAAGCTGATATACTGTGACTGAAGTACTGCGATTAATCCAACTTACTTACTTAATGAAATACAGTTCAAATAAGCATTAAATTCAACTCACTCACTCACTTGAATTACTGTTAAAAGCAACAATAATGCAACTTACTCAAATGCAACTAACCTTCAACCTTGTTGTCGCTCACTCACTCACCCACCTAATCATTCACTCACTTGTCCACTCACCCACCAACCCACCCATTCACCCACCCACCCACTCACTTGTCCACTCATCCACCCACCAATTCACCCACCCACTCACTTGTCCACTCATCCACCCACCCACCCACCCACTCATTTGTCCACTCATCCACCCACTCATTCACTCACTCACCCACCCACTCATTCACTCACTTGTCCACTCACCCACCCACTCATTCACTCACTTGTCCACTCACCCACCCACTCATTCACTCACTTGTCCACTCACCCGACCACCCACCCACTCACTCACTAACCCACCCACCCACCCACCCACTCACTCACTCACTCACTCACTCACTCACTCACTCACTCACTCACTCTGTGAAGCTTACCTTGCACCTTGTTGCCACTGGGGGACAGTTGTTGCATATGATGATGTTGGGGAGACTGCTGCGATGCATGAGACAGCAGGCCATGGGCGTGGGGGCCGGATGAACCTCGCCTAGGTCTGGAGGTAGAAACACAAAGTTTAGGCATGGTGTATGGAGTTGCCGTTTATTACACAATCTCAGGAAGGATTCCACATGAAGAGTTATTTCCTAATGATTTCCTGCACCTTTGAAAACAGGGTGTAAAATTTAATAGTTCTGCAACAATTAATTATCCTTTCAAGAAGACTGGGTATCATATCAAGTATAATGGAGCACATTGTGCCATGAGGAGTGGATATCATGAGATGAGTAAGTGAGTGAGTGAGTGAGTATTGTTTTATACCTCTTTTAGCAATATTCTAACAATATTACGGCAGGGGACACCAGCAATGGGCTTCACACATTGTACCCATGTGGGAAATCGAACCCGGGTCCTCGACCAATCAAGTGAACGCTTTAACCACTGGGCTATCCCACTGCCCGGATCCTGACATAACAAGAGGTAATACCATGACAAGTGTGTATGGTACCACATCCAGGGGTTATCATGTCAACACTAGTGACTGTGATATCAAAAGACAACCGGTTATCCTACTGAGGCAGATGTTAAATATCATGACAACTGGATATCACAACATGAAAAGTAGGAATTATTTCATGACAATTGATGATAATTCAAATACCTTTGACAGATCTGACACACTGACCCCTAGTTGTGGGAATATATTCCACTGATATTCAATATTTAACTTCATAAACACAAATGAACACAACCAGTAGTTAAGAAGTCATAATTAGTAGTTAAAAAGTCATAACTAGTCGTTAAGAAGTCATAACCAGTAGTTAAAAAGTCATAACCAGTTGTTAAGAAGTCATAACCAGTAGTTAAGAAGTCATAACCAGTTGTTAAGAAGTCATAACCAGTAGTTAAGAAGTCATAACCAGTAGTTAAAAAGTCATAACCAGTTGTTAAGAAGTCATAACCAGTTGTTAAGAGGTCATAACCAGTCCTTAAGAAGTCATAACTAGTTGTTAAGAAGTCATAACCAGTAGTTAAGAAGTCATAACCAATCATTAAGAAGTCATAACCAATCATGAAGAAGTCATAACCAATCATTAAGAAGTCATAACCAGTAGTTAAAAAGTCATAACCAGTAGTTAAGAAGTCATAACCAGTAGTTAAGAGGTCATAACCAGTCATTAAGAAGTCATAACCAGTCATTAAGAAGTCATAACCAATCATTAAGAAGTCATAACTAGTCGTTAAGAAGTCATAACCAGTTGTTAAGAAGTCACAACCAGTAGTTAAGAAGTCATAACTAGTCGTTAAGAAGTCATAACCAGTTGTTAAGAAGTCACAACCAGTAGTTAAGAAGTCATAACTAGTCGTTGAGAAGTCATAACCAGTAGTTAAGAAGTCAAAACCAGTTGTTAAGAAGTCACAACCAGTAGTTAAGAAGTCATAACTAGTCGTTAAGAAGTCAAAACCAGTAGTTAAGAAGTCAAAACCAGTCGTTAAGAAGTCATAAGCAGTCATTAAGAAGCGACATCGCTTCATCCCTGGCGGCTGCCCTGGTATGAGTCTCATGCAACTAGTCACCGGTTGTATACGAAACACTCATAAAATCTCCCATCTCTTACAAACTACAGCAAATGACTTTATAATTAACATGAAATCCCGTTCACAACCCTCTCTCTCCCAAGGCATCAGTCAATAAGGTCACACTAATAAAAACCCTACTCATCCCTGCCAACCGTCAGTACTTAGTCTCATTACTGGCTTCCACCTCTGTCAATGTTCAAGAGTTGCATCCAGGTCCCAATTTACATGATACAACTTGTACAAATGGTTTTGTTCTTGCTTAATTCAATATTCTAGTAGTATCACAGTGACCTGTAAATAATCAAATCTGGACCAGATAAACCAGGGATTGATATTGTGAGCAACATATTTGATCCTGTCCAACAAGTCAACAAATACATGCATGTGGATTGCCTTAGTTAAGTGACTTTCTTTGTAATTTGCTTTTGTTCTCCCAGCATCAAATGGGTACCAGGTAGGATGAGACGGCCATGTAAATGGGGACTTGGTAGTATGAGATTGTAATGAGAAGACAACATGTTCCAGCACCCAACAGACTTGGATTGTCTACTTCCCAGGAAGCTCAGAATGGAATAGGAATGCACACAGATCCACTGACATCGGAAATAATACACATTCTGTGTCATCTTCCACCAGCATAAGTAGCTTCTGATTAACATCACATTATTATCATAAAATCATCACTGACAGTACAGGAAATCTTTTTATCAAAAACATGACTAAGTCATACCTTTTCTTATCACTTGGACCACAGTATTTACTTGGACCTCAGTGTCACCACAGTGTTTACTTGGACCTCAGTGTTTACTTGGACCTCAGTGTTTACTTGGACCATGGTGTTTACTTGGACCATGGTGTTTACTTGGACCACAGTGTTTACTTGGACCTCAGTGTCACCACAGTGTTCACTTGGACCATGGTGTTCACTTGGACCATGGTGTTTACTTGGACCATGGTGTTTACTTGGACCATGGTGTTTACTTGGACCTCAGTGTCACCACAGTGTTCACTTGGACCATGGTGTTTACTTGGACCTCAGTGTCACCACAGTGTTCACTTGGACCATGGTGTTTACTTGGACCATGGTGTTTACTTGGACCACAGTGTTTACTTGGACCTCAGTGTCACCACAGTGTTTACTTGGACCACAGTGTTTACTTGGACCATGGTGTTTACTTGGACCATGGTGTTTACTTGGACCACAGTGTTTACTTGGACCTCAGTGTCACCACAGTGTTCACTTGGACCATGGTGTTCACTTGGACCATGGTGTTTACTTGGACCATGGTGTTTACTTGGACCATGGTGTTTACTTGGACCTCAGTGTTACCACAGTGTTTACTTGGACCATGGTGTTTACTTGGACCATGGTGTTTACTTGGACCTCAGTGTTACCACAGTGTTTACTTGGACCATGGTGTTTACTTGGACCTCAGTGTTACCACAGTGTTTACTTGGACCATGGTGTTTACTTGGACCATGGTGTTTACTTGGACCATTGTGTTTACATGGAGCACAGAGTTAACTTAAAGAACTCTCTCAGTGTTTACTTATCAGAAATTACAATCTTTTGACTGGAAAACACATCTTGGATTGTATTTTAAGATCCTGAAGCTCTCTGAGACAAGCATGATTACGAGTAAGTAAACATTCTGATAACAGTACTAGATAAATAATAACCTGAGCACAACTTTCTCAAGGTTTGTTGTATTTTCCTTACAAAAGGTGTGATTATTTTCCATATCATTACATAAGTCCACCTGCACTGAATTCAACAGTTCCTTAATTGTCATTGCCTAATATACTCCTAAATCATTACGGTCATTAGACCAGCTTGACTGAGAGAAGCGTTCATGCATACAAAATGGCTGGCATATCAAAGAAGATTTTCAAAAGCACAAAAGGCTAGTATTCCAGTTATATCACAGCCTGTCAGCTTGATGTCGAAAGAAAACCTGAAGTGCTGCAGGTTTTAGACTTTTACCACTTAGGAACACAGGTATATGGTGCTGACAAACCAAGAAATATAATCAGGGTGATTTCTAAAACACACACAATCAAACATAATCCTAATATTGCACAATCAACTTTGTTTTGACCTTTTCCAGTATAGCACACATGTTTAGAAATAGATTCATATCCTGTAAAGGGTAAACAGATACTTGAATCAGGATAGGGCAATGAAGAAAATTCAAGAAGACAATGCTCAGGAAGGAGACAATGCTTATAAAGAAGACAATGCTCATGAAGAAGACAATATGTCTGTAAAGAAGATAAAGTTTATTAAGAAGACAATGCTTATAAAGAAGACAATGCACATGAAGAAGAAAATGTTCTTGAAGAAGACAATGCTCATGAAGAAGACAATGATGATGAAGAAGACAATGCCCATAAAGAAGACAATGTTCATGAAGAAGACAATGTTTATAAAGAAGACAATGCTCATGAAGAAGACAATGCTCATGAAGAAGACAATGCCCATAAAGAAGACAATACTTATGAAGACAATGCTCAGGGAGAAGAAAATATCATGAAGAAGACAATGCTCATGAAGAAGACAATGCTCATGAAGAAGACAATGATGATGAAGAAGACAATGCTCATGAAGAAGACAATATGTCTATAAAGAAGATAATGTTTATAAAACGGACAATGCTCATGAAGAAGACAATGCTCATGAAGAAGACAATGCCCATAAAGAAGACAATACTTATGAAGACAATGCTCAGGGAGAAGAAAATATCATGAAGAAGACAATGCTCATGAAGAAGACAATGCTCATGAAGAAGACAATGATGATGAAGAAGACAATGCTCATGAAGAAGACAATATGTCTATAAAGAAGATAATGTTTATAAAAAAGACAATGCTCATGAAGAAGACAATGCTCATAAGGAAGACAATGCTCATGAAGAAGAAAATGTTCATGAAGAAGACAATGTTCAATGCTCATGAAGAAGACAATGCTCATGAAGGATAAAGTTAACGCTTATAAAAAAGACAATGCCTATAAGGTAGGGGACAATGCTAAGGATGAAGAGAACAATATTCATGAAGAAGAAAATGCTTGAATAGCAGAATACAAAGATGACACAGAAAAAGAAAGTGGGAGTGTGAAAGAAGTAAATTTGATCACATATCAACCAACACAATTCACATGGTGCACTATTAGAACAAATCAGGTATTACTCCATGGTAAATTCATTTAATTCAAATGATCTAATCATGTAAAAAAGAAATGCTTAAGCAAACAGCTTTCTGATTATTTTTTAAATCTAAAAAGCTCTCCTACCAGAGCCTGACCAAGCGTCTATATGCGTCTGTGATGGTTATCATCAGAATTGCTGCTGGTAACGATCGGACCAATTCTGGACCCTCAGATTATACAGCGGCAGCCTATGATCTGAGAGCTATGACGTAGGCACAAGCACTAGGGTAGAGTTTATGTCAATCACCAAATATGATCCCACTCAC